TTTTTTTTTTGGCACAATGTGGGAATAAACTTAGGATGCTGCATTTGTTGAAATAATTTCCGTCTATTTCTGTCAGAGGTTGGAGTTGTTAACGTTATTTTTAAAAAACTGTGTTTCTAATTTGCTGTGTTTTATGCTTTTTCAGGTATGTTAGAGGATGGTTCGTCTCGGAGGCCCGTGAATAATAATAGCCTTTCGCTGATGAATGATTTTGGATTCGGTGGTGGCTTTTTTGGCGGTCTTATGCGGCATATGGTAGTTAATTCTTTGCTTGTAGTTTAATGAAAAGGCTATATGCAAATACATTGTGTGCTTTGGAAAAGGGCTCATAAATTTTTAGTTCCATACCTTTTTGATGCGATTTTATTATTTTTGCCCAGTGCATCGTGAAGCAAGGTGTGGTTTTATTGGTCTTCTTGAATGGATTTTTCTAAATTCATTTTTTTGCAGGATGATTTCCAGAATGCTGCTATGAATGATCCTAATTCTCACGTCTTTTCTCAGTCTACTATGATTAGTTATGATGGTACGAGCGGGGGTCAGCCTAAAATAGTTGAAAAGAGCGTTCGTAAAACTGGTGATGTGAAGGAAACAAGGTAGTTACTTTCAATTTTCGTGTAATAGAACTAACTAATTGTCTATTATTTCTTCTGGGGAAATTGTCTTTGTTAAAATAACATTTTTTATTACTTTTAGGAGTTCAGTTCGTCATGGCGAGGGTGGCGTTGGTGATAGGATGGCTATTGAACACACAATTGGTAACAGAACTCATGTAATCGAAAAAAAACGCGACCGAGACGGCCGTATACGAGAACAGCAACATTTTGTCAACCTTAACCAAAGTATGTGGGGAGTTCTTTTAATTTGATTAATTCTTTTTTATCATTTTATATTCCTCATTTTAGATGAGGCAGAAGACTTCGACCGTGAATTCGCTACCAGGGTAAGGCGTAATTTTGGGGGAACGAGTGGTGAACGTTATCGGGCGATTGAGCATGGGAGTGGTTCTTCTCGCCCCAATTTAAGTTCGGAGACACGGGAAATTCGCGTATGACTTTGCTTTCGTCTTCTCTTTCACAGTCTTGTCTATTTTTTCATTCATTTTTTTAGTCAGGTGCTACTGGTGGTAATGATGCTCCTATTGTGACTCTTCCGGAGGATGATGTGGAAGATGAAGGTAGAGGCTACCAGAGACATCATACTTCGTCTGCCAGGTACTTTAAGACATATTCTTCAATGAGATAATTTTCATTCAGCCATTTGGGAGTATATTTGGTTATTGTCAACTTTGATCTAATTCTTTACATTTTTTAGTATGGATTTTGTTTTGTGGTCGTGGTAGTGAACAATGGCAGTGTTAATTTTTTAAGAACGTATATCTGAACACCGGCTCTAAGTGGTACTATAATTTGTGTTTAGCTGTTGGATATTTTCCTGGTGTTTTTTACTACCTTTGGTGGAGCGCATGCTAATTTCTTCCTTTTTCTCTGAAGCATGGATAGAGAGTTGTTTTATGGTATAGGACAATTATTAGTCATTGCCACTTCTTTAAGAAGCGTTCAAACAATTCCGTTTATGAGGAGCGAAATGTGAACTACTTTTTTGTAATTTCATTCGTGTTGAAATTAACAACTAAGTTTGTTTGCTAGGACAGATGGCTTTCGATGACTACATGTGGAAACTTGTGAATGTCTCGTGGAGAAAATGATTAATTTTTTTGTTCTGTTTGCAGTTAGAAGTTCTGAGAGTTGTAGGACAATTACCCGAACCGCGATAACCGGATCTGTTTCAATAGGTTGTTTGTATATTAGTAATTTCCTGTTGTCACATCAAGTAAGGGAAGTGGAAATTCATTTTGAGCTCGAGAAAGTCTAAATTTTCTTTGAGGGATGTTTTTTTCTGGAACTTGTGTCTATTTGCTTGGAAAGCATTGGACGGGTGGGAGAGTTTTGAATTGATGGGTATGAGAGTGGAAATTGTGTCGCTACTTCTTCGTATTGTAAGTTTAGGACGACATTTTGGAGCTGAGGGTAAGCAGGAATGATGTTAAGTAAATTCTGTGAATCTTTCAATTTTTACATTATTCTTAGCATCCCGGCGACAATAACAAACGGATATGAAGTTTGCAGTTAGACCGTGTCTTTAAATTAGTGGGGTACTGAAGGGCTCCGCTGTCCCATGCTGGGTGTACTTTCAAAAATATCAATTTTTTCTTGAGGAACAGACTGCTGGGATGTTTACGCCATTCCCTGTGTAAATTTCGTCGTTTTTTTGCTTACCATGATTTACCTTAAATTTATAAACATTTATGATTTCTAATTTCCAAATAGGAAAAACTTTATTGTTCGGTGCATTTGATTTCGTTGGGGATTCGATTTCATCGCAGTGTTACATTTGTTTTTTTTTTTTTAATTGGTTTTATCGCTTGGTAGTCAGATTTATGTGCGTATAAAATGGAGTATATCTCTACATGTATCTGCTCCAAAGAGCGGTATACGGGATTCCAGTAGATGAAAGCAGTTGAATGATGATGCTTGTAAGAGTTGCGCCTGTTAAGGTGCAAAAACTTGTTCAGTCCCAGGATTTAAGGAAGACAAAAAATTTTTCTGTTTGCTTCATGATTTCGGACAAACACTTTGTGATTTTTTTTACATCACTTAACCTTTGTCTGTAGTTCATTTTGCGTTGTCTAGTACCCAAGTCGTTTTACGGTACTTATCCTTTACTAGGAGGTACCAAGTAGTTGCTTCTAATCTGCCTTTAAATTTCTTAGCGATTTCCTAAAGCGCTACTGTGGTTTGTTTTGTTTCCAACAGTTTTTACGGGGTTCTTTGGTTATCATGAAGTGAATTTTTTTGTTTTATTTAGTAGCAGGGTAGTCGGTACGTGTTCTGTAGCTTCTATATTTGTTGTGAGGGGTGTAACTAATAAGTGTTAGTAATTTTTGCACTTTATAGCTTTTGTGTTTTGTGTTATTTTAAGTTTTCTGCTTTCCTGTTTGTCATTTTTCGTGAGGATTTGTTTAGGCCTAGTTCTATGCATCGTTCGCGTCATCGGTATGATGGGCCAATCATTCGAGAAATTGATGAGGAGGAAGAGGAACAACACCGAGACACTAAACGACGTAAGGGAGTTTTTGGAAGATTATTTAAAGCGAACGATGAGTAAGGACTTCACACTTGTACATGCAGCACGTCTTTTACTTCATCTGCTTGCGACAACCAATTGTATTTAAAAAGTCGTGTGAAATAGTGTCATTGTGTTAGACGGAGAATGCAGCCAAAGTTGCTTTCATTTGTTTTTCACTTTGCTTTAAAGTTTGTCGTATCAATATCGGTAATTTAGATTGGAGTTGTTGTTTAGTGAATATATTTTTTTCCGAACTTAACTTGCTTTCCGAGTGCAAGGTTCTGTTAACCTGTTCGAAGTGGTCGGAGTGTGTTAGTCGTTTTTGCTAGTATCTGTCTCAGTGTTGTATTTAGCATTTCTGAATGTGAAATTTTGTTTTATCTCATATTTTTTTTATTTTCCTTTTTTGCCGGTGTTTGGGATTAAGTTTAAGGGAGTTTGCGCTGTGTTCTACTTTGCTTTTATGTTCTTGCGTTAGAAAGATAGGGAAGTGAAAAAGAGAAAATATATATTTTCTTGGTGAGCTTATATGTTTCATTAAAATATTTGTGGTCTGTAATTACTATCATCATTAATAGTTGGCTTGAGTTATGTACAGCCTTATTGCAAGGGGCTTGTTTTTCTGCTGAAAAAGAAATGGGATTTCAGTATTATTTTTTATCCAAGAGTAAATGTTGTCTGACAGATGGCTAGTGGTTTGTCGCAGATTTCATTCCATTTAAGGGGAGGGAGAGGCGTCAGGGACTGTGTCGCATGGTTGTGTAGCTTTCCAGTCGTTTCCTTCGTTCCACTTTGGTCCAATCCCTTAAATGTGTTTATTTCTTAAATGAATGTGATTTGCCTTAGCGGTGTGGTGAGGTTTTGGATGTTGAAGGCGTCAGCTCAGGGACGATGTCGTGAACTGAGTTGGGTTAAAGTGATGTTTGTGTGGTTGCTTCCAAGCTTCTAAGTTTTTTAGCGTGTTTTCCCTTATAGTTTCAGGTTTTAAGACTTGATTGCGTTGCAAGGATCAGTTAACGGATTGGGGTATCATTCAGGTTTCATGTTTTTGCACTGTTGTGCTATGTGAGTTGTAAGGATAAAGGTGGGGAAGTTTTTTTTCAATGTAGAAATGAAGTGAGTACTGGAGTTTTAATGGGTGTTGAAACCTTTGAGATGACGTCTGCGTAGTTATGCAGTTTCGGTGTCTTTCTACGAAGTTTTTTTCTCGTTAACTCTGTAATGGTTATCCGGTAGGTTTGGTTCGTGAGACAGTTGAATTAAGTTGCGTTTTCAGAATAAGTTGGGGAATTAGATTAAGTAATTGTTGTATTTATTTATAGGCAGAATCAACCGAAAATAGTCGATATGGACGATGAAAGCTTACATGACGGCAACAATTAATTCTTTTGTATATTAACGACGGTTTATTTCCGTGTTATTTATTTACGTTGTGGACGTATTGCAAGGTTGATATTCGCACATTCAGAAATAAACTATCGCTTAAAATCAGTGTTGTAACAGTCACAACAGTCACACTATCGAGCCCCAGTTCCAATCTGAGAAAAAATATGGAAAGATTTAGCCTATTAGTTCAACTTTTGTTGCATAACTAATACAACTTCGGTTCGAATTTTTTTTGAGGTAGTCAAATTTTAATTTTGAGAGTAAAAAGTACTAGATTAAATGCTTAGTAATTTAACAGAAAAGTGTTGATTTTCCATCCGCTATAACATTTTTGCTTCAACTGCTGAATTGAATTGTAAACGAAAAGTTGTGAGTTTGAAGTTGTACCTTTAGGAATAAGGGGTCAGAACTGCATCTCTGTAGCATCTTGGAAGCATCAGAATCTTGGGTTGTTTGACATTTGAAATCACTTCATGGTAGGGTTCAGAAGAGAATAGATTAAGAGTAGGATGCTGAACAAAAGTCAGATACAGTATCAGTTTGACGCATAATTAACTAAATCTCCAATTACATACGTCAGATGTAGGTAATGAAGATGAGGGCTTACTCAGTTTCAGGACACTAGTACGTTGCGGCTGAAGTATTTTTTTCTTGAAGTAGGTAATAGATGGTGAAGTCTGTTGTCACTGTAATCAACTTTTCTTACTTAGAACAATAAGTGATCAACGACCACACCGGAAGGTTGCGATGTTGGGTTAGAAATGGTCTAAAATCTAAAATGAGCTTATTCTAATGAGCGACAAAACTGCAGCATTCCTTATTACACTTAACAAAAAAACCTGTTATTTTTTTTTATTTTAAATTGCACTTATTATGTGATAAACTGTTCTATTTGGTAAATTAAATGGTTACTCCATTGGTAGCGCAATAAAACACTACTCAGTAAGGGTGCATTAGAAAACCATCGAAAAAATTTCATTAGGGATGTTTAGATGAAATTGTAGGCAAAAATGTGTAGCAGTTAACCTCCAAAATTCATAGGCTAATTTTTTTTTTTAAAACTGCACTGCATGCAGTTAACCCGACTTTGTTTCTCGAATATTTCATACGCAGCTGTCACGATATTGAAACGTGTGCATTTTGGAAAACTCACAAACGCGGTCTTTTAAAAACAGTTATCTAACTATAACTGAACCGTTTAATTAGCAGTGGAAATGATTAAGTTAATGTAATGAGGCAAAAATAAATTTATTCTGATCCCGAATGCATATAATTTTTACAACAGTAAACAACAAAGTCAAGCAATCTTCTATCTTTTTTTTTTTTG